CGCGGCCAGAACAAAAAGGCCCGGGTCCCCACGTGCAGCCCCTTAAGAAGCTCCCTTATGTCACCCCGGCTTTCCTTCACCACGCCCTTATGGGCGAGTCCCGGGTCCACCTGGTACCTGTCCCAGGACTATTGGGCGGGGCTAGGGTGTCTCCCTACACAGTTGTGAGCTGACATGTGGGTTCTGGGAATTGAACTGAAATTGAGCACTGAGCCCTGTCTCCAGCCCTTGTTTACAGTGTGTTCGTGTGCGTGCGTGCGTGCGTGCGTGCGTGCGTGCGTGCGTGTGTATGTGTGTGTGTCTGTGTGTGTGTGTGTGTGCGTGTGCATGTGTATGTGTGTGTGTGTGTATGCGTGTGCATGTGTATGTATGTGTGCCTGTGTGTGTGTGTGTGTGTGCGTGTGTGTGTGTGTGTGTGGCGTGCGTGCGTGCGTGCGTGCGTGCGTGCGTGCGTGCGTGCGTGCGTGCGTGCGTGCGTGCGTGCGTGCGTGCGTGCGTGCGTGCGTGCGTGCGTGCGTGCGTGCGTGCGTGCGTGCGTGTGTGTGTGTGTGTGTGTGTGTGTGTGCTCGCGCGCGAGAGAGCATGCATGTAGAGGACAGCCCTTCAATGATATTCCTCCAGTGCTGATCATCTTAATTTCTCTAACGTTGTGTTTGTGTGTGCATGTTTGTGCACTCATGTGTACATGTGTGCATGTATGTGTGAGTATGGAGACTAGCGGTTGACATCAGGTCTCTTCTTCAGTGACTCTCCACCTATTTCTGAGACAGGGTCTCTCACTGAACCCGGAGCCACCAATCCAGGCTGGCCGGTGAGCCCCAGGGACCCTGTCTTCCAGCACTGAGATTACAGTTAGTAGGCCACACCCACTTTTCTGTGGATGTTGTGGATGCTAGGGACCCACATTCAGGTCCTCACCCTTGAGCAGAGATTGACCAACACAGCGGAGACCTCCCCAGCCCCTGCTTCTTTGCAGTTTGTTCTGAGTCAGGATTATTTTATCAATGACCTGGAACTCACCAAGTAGGCTGGGCTGTCTGTCTGGTCAGCCCCAAGGATCTACCTGTCTGTTTTTTTCTTTTTCTGTTTCTCTGTGGAGAAACCTGGTGTTTTAAATGAGGGTGCTGAGGCTCAAACTCCAGTTCTCTTACTTCCAGACAAACACTTTACCCACTGAACTATTCTCCCCCCACAGCCCTAACTTTATCATTTTTTAAATGCGTTTTAGATGCCACACACTGGAAACACTTGTTATATACTCAGCCAGAGATTCCCAAGATAACGTGCACCTAATGAAGACTCCCAGTGGTCTGACAGAGGTACATTCAATGACTTGTTGCAAAGGAAACCACACACTGAAGGAACCATGGGCTGTGTCACCAGATACCAGATGAGGGAAAGTTATTTATGTTTTCGGGGGAAAGAAACAGTGGTGGGTTTCACCTCTTTGTTTTGGCTTGTTTTCTGCAGGACTGTGGATCAGCCCTTAGGGTGAGCCTGCCAGGTGAACACTCTGCCACCAAGCCACATCAGTCCAGAGGCGGTGTTTTGATCTCTTCGAAGCACAGTGGGCTGTGTAAAGGGATTATCAGCAGGTCTGAGCTATCAAGAGGGCTCAGGAGCCTGTTTCCTTGGAAACAACCATGTGCAGATAGATGTAGGATGCTGTCACTGGAAACCTTATCTGGAGCTCTGCACCTGTCTTAGACTCCCAGGATGCTCTTCTCTGTCCAAATAACCCAAACCTTCCAGGTAAGAGTAAAACGTTCCGTTTGTACAGATATTCTAAACAACAAAACTTCTGACAATCTAAGACTTTAGAGAGTAAGATCTCTCAGCATTAGTCCTTTTGTTAGTTAACAAAAACAACAACAACAAAAACAAAAAACAAAAAACAATCTCCCCAGTATTCCATTAAGATGTGATTTGCTTTTTTGTACAGATAAGAGAACTGGCATGCTCAGAGATTGTGGGTACTTGCCCAGTGTCATACAGCTAGCTGTTAAATGGCAGCCAGGATTCATACATCCCCTGTAGCCCAGGATTACTAGCCCTGCCGAAAGATATGCAAACATGTGTTCTTAAGCCAGCTGTGGCTCACAGCAGCATATTCTAGGACTAAATAGTATTTCTGGGGCTTTGTTTTATTGAATTAGAACAGTTTTGCAACGAAATACAGATGGGAAGTACTCAGTTCAACGTGTCCAGTTGTTCACTCCTGTACCAGACAAACCGATAGATACAGAATCCTTATCACCCCACGAAGTTTTAGCTTTTGCTGCTTCCAACTAATTGTCCTCCACCACCAGGTGTCACTTTCTGATTTTATAGCTTCATGTTGCCATTATCATAACACATCTGGTGGCTCACTCCAAGCAATTTTTCTCCTATTTTGACAAGTTGGGTTTTGTTTGTCTCTCTACGTAGCCCTGGAACTTGCTATGCAGATACGGTTCAAGGGTGGCCCCAAACTCACAGAGATCTGCAAGCTTCTACTTCCCAAGCACTGGGAATGCCACCACAGCCCAATCTATTTTGACAAACATTCATGGTTATTTGTTTAGGGGAAACACTTATGATGTTACATTAGTCTTAGTATTAGTTAATATCAGAATAGTGACCAGGGCTGGGGTAGAGCTTGGCGGCAAAGCATGGGAGGAGAGGAGAGAGAGCAGGGAAGAGGGCACACTTTTAGGGAGAATAAACTATAAAATCTTGGAAAAAAGAAGAAACATAAATCTGGGCTTGGTGCATGATTTTACCCAGCACTCAGGAGGCAGACGTAGGTGGATCTCTGTGATTTCCAGGCCAGCCTGGTCTATAGAGCAATATCCAGGACAGCCAGAGTTGTTATACAGAGAAACCATGGAGAGAGAGAGAAAGAGAGAGAGGGAGAGAGAGAGAGAGAGAGAGAGAGAGAGAGAGAGAGAGAGAGGATATATACAATATTTTTTTTAAATCAACAAGGACTGACAGTTTCTAGCAGTGTTGGGTCTTCAATTGGTCCAAGTTGAGAACAATTACAATTAATTCTGTGGCAAATTAATTAACTATAAAGAATTAGCTAAAAAGAAAAAATAACCAGAAAATAAAGTTCTGTTTTGTTAGATTTTAATTTTTTCTTGCAAGACAGGGTCCTTTGTGTAGTCCTGGCTGTCCTGGAACTCACTTTGTAGACCAGGCTGGCCTCGAAATCACAGAGATCTGCCTGCCTCTGCCTCCCAAATGCTGAGATTAAAGTCATGTACCACCATGTCCAGTTTAGGTTTTAACTTTTAACAGGAAGGTTGGACTGCATTTTTTTTTTTTTTTTTGAGTCAGGGTCTCAGTATGTAGTCTTGGCTATCCTAGAACTTGTGATATAGACTAGCCTGACCTGGAATTCACCTGCCTCTGCATGCATGCACCATCCTGCCAGGCTGAAAGTCTCAGTTTGAAACCTAAAGTGATTTCACCTAGTCATACCTTAGGCTCCCAAGAGCTGGGATTACAGGCGTGAGCCACCTTCCGCAGCTAATGGTAAAAGTTTAATTTACTGGAAGTAAAAAAGTGGCCAGAAATGGATATTCATCTTGATGGTAGAGCAAGGGCCTAGTATACACAAGAACCAGTGGGGAGGAGGGGGCCAAGGGGGGGAGGAGGAACAAAGGGAGGGGGAGGGTAAGGTTCATTCTAATTTATCTTTCTACCACCTTCCCTCTCAAGTAACAGACAGAGGTGGGGCTGGAGAGATGGTGCAGTTGTTAGGACCACTGGCTGCTCTTCTGTAAGACCCACGTACAAGTCTCAGCACCACAGAGCCTGTGACTCCAATTCTGGGGGAATCTGAGGTCCCCCTTCTAATGCCCTCTTGTGGCCACTTTGGGCAACACACACACACACACACACACACACACACACACACACACACACACACAAACCCACACACACACCCCAACACTCACAGGCAAAACATCCACATATATTAAGTATTTTTTAAAAAGAATCAGAAGATAGGGTGTGGTGTGGTGTGGTGTAGAGGCACACTCTCTGAGTTCGAAAACAGCCAGGACTACACAGTGGGAGCCTGCACAGGAAATGTTGGTTCTGTGGAAGCATGAATACTTACAGCTTATACAACTGAACAAACATTGTGTAGAGCATTGTCCTAAGATGTCTATGTATGTTACTCCATCCTAACTATAACCTTAACAGACAGACAAGTTTGAAGCTAAGGCAATCTGACTTTGTAGCACAGTACAATCACAGTTTTACTGTTGTTGGTAGTAGTGGTAGTGTCTTTTTGAGCCTGGGTCTATGTAGCCCAGGCTGGCCTGAAACTCATAATCCTCCTACCTTAGCCTCCCGAGTGCTGAGATTACTAGCATGTGCCACCACACCCAGCATGACCTCACTTTTCAAGCAAGATTGAAAATATGTGGGGATAGCCCTCTAATGGCTGAGAAACAGAGAAGTCAATTCCAGTGGTAACTTAAAAAAAAAAAAAAAGACCTACTTTTGAAGCTGTCAATCAATTTTAGAACTTAATCTTACAAGCCAAGGTCAGTGTGGGAGCTATTTCTAAGACAGACACCAGCAGTTAGTTCTCTCTCTCTCTCTCTCTCTCTCTCTCTCTCTCTCTCTCTCTCTTGGTTTTTCGAGACAGGGTTTCTCTGTGTAGCTTTGGAGCCTATCCTGGCACTCACTCTGGAGACCAGGCTGCCCTCGAACTCACAGAGATCCACCTGCCTCTGCCTCCCGTGTGCTGGGATCAAAGGCATGAGCCACCAACGCCCGGCCTCCTGACATGTTTTAAATTCCCTATTAGTCTACAGGATAAACTATTTTCAGGATGCCAAGAAACAGTCTTCAGGTGAAACCAGCAAGAAATAAACACATGGGCCAAGAACAGCTCAGTGGTTCAGTGTTTGCTCAGCCTGAGCAAGACCCTGGGTTCTACCTAGCACAGAAAAGAAAAAAGGGAGGGGAGGGAGGGAGAACAGAGGAGGGAGGAAGACTGGTTATCTGAGTCAATATGAATTTTATTAACACACATTTTTCAAAGTCTGTACAAACCAAAACATTCCTGTTTTAAAATGTCCATTATTACAAACATACAAAGAAACGGAAGGTGTTACCAAAAGTTACTCAATTTCATGGTAAAATGCTGTCATGATTAAAAAACAAACAAACAAACAAACAAAAACACTTCAAGACTGAGGTTTACTCTTTACCGTTCAGGAGCTCATGGTAGTTTAGAAAATGTGTAGGTTTGCGGAATATTAAATGCTAAGACCTTAAAAAAAGATTTAGTATAAAACTAAATGAACATCTGTACACTGTCACACTTGACATCCACAATTTCTCAGTCTTACATTTTAAGAAACCATGACTGTCATTCTTTTTCTACCATCTTTTCCCCCACAGCCAACGCAAATGCTTCCGAAAAACAGGCTATGACTGATAGTTATCTTTACCTCAAAGTTTCTCATTCAAAAAGTTACAAAATGTTTCAGCACAGCAGTTTTCCCTCTTAGAAGGGAAAACTGCATTCCCTACCACGGTGACATAAATACATGGCCCTTCCAGTCTCCTGTCGGAAAGAGCCCTCACATCCGTATCTGCCTATCTGTGTGCATGAGTCTCTTCTGACAATACAATTACAAACTAGAGAGCACCTGCTGGGAACAGTGACCTCAACTATCCAACACTGGTGGATGTGGTACAAATGTCACCTGTCTTCATGATCGGCTCTAATTCTGGCGCCACCTGCACTGATTCCAGGGTTGGTTCTGTGTCATGACACATACTACCATCTCTAGTTTTTTCCACAAAAATCTAAGAGTGAGGCTCCACATGAACCTATCCCTTCCCACCTGCCTACAGGGTCAAAATGAGAAGGGCACACTCAGGGAGGCCCATGCCAAGCCCTGGAAACATACAAGTAGTTCAAATCTTATCCCACCTGAATCTGCTGTTAAAAAAAATGTGTTCTGTTAATAGCCTGATATGACAGCTGACACAAGCAAGAAACAGGTATGTTTTTAAAAAAGAAGAGGCAGTGTGGGAATATAAAATTACATAAAAGAAGGAGGGGTAGATAGAGGGGGAAGTGTCCAGTACAACCTGGACAACCATTCTTTCTGCCCTTACTTAAAGACAGACTGGTCAATTCTCTGCACCCTTAAGCATCTCCTCAATGCTCTTCCAGAGTCCTCCAAAGGCACTTAGCTCCACACTTACGCCTCCAGCATTTACCTTAGCATCAAGACTCTAAGGTAATGAGAAAGAAAAGATAGGATTCTCTTACTAAAAGCTAGCAAACAGGACAGCATTTTTTTTCTTTTTTTTTCAAAGAGGCATTGCTTTTACAAGAACTAGCTAGGTTACCATCATTCCTTTATCAAGAAAAGGTTTCCTTTTTAAAAAATAAATAAAACTCTGTCTATACATAGTACAAAGGTCATACATAATATACCTGGAAAAAACCCAAGAGTATACCCTGAAGCAAAAGATTTATTGGTGAGAGAAAGGCTCTCTCACTGCACAAAGTCTCAGGTGGCAGTTTTCAAGGTCCAGAGGGTGGCAGTGACGGTGGTGTGATGCACTGTGGATGACAGATGAGATGGCGGACAGAAACTCTGCACATGACACTAAGCAGTGACCACGATGGAAAACACCGAGTACCAAAGTAGAGAGAGGGAGCACAGGGGAGCAGAGGAGGAGGAGCAGGTCTGAGACCCCAAGCGCTCAGCATGCAGTCATAACATGGCACAGACCAGGTGTTTCCATTCCACCCACTACACTCACAAAGAAGAGTAACGGTAAGAAAATAGAGATTTTTGTAAGAAAGCACAATCCCAGAGAACAGCCAGGTTGCCAACCCTGACCCAGGAGCACCGGCTGTTGTTGCTGGGAGCCTTCTCAGGGTCTTCACGGAGATGTTATGGTGCCCGACTTCTCAGACTTCTTGCTCTTGGACAAAGCAGCTGCCTGTTTCAGAAGCTCTCGGTTTTTGGCCTAAAAATCATAAAAATAAGAAGTCAGTGCAAGAGCAGCTTCCACAGGACAGTTAAGAGTGTGCTTTCTGTGCAGAATCAGTTTAATGGCTAATAACAGCAATGGTAAGGGTAGCTGTCTGTGTAGATGGAAAGGGGGGGACACTGGGCCAGAGAGGGGGAATCAACAGGAAGTCCTGGGGCTTGACACCCAGTTAAGTAAAAAAGTATCTGGGAGATGTGCACTGCTGAGCTTGATCTCTTGGGACTATTGCTACAAAAAAAATGATGTGTGAAATACAAACCAACCAGAGAGCCCTAATAAGGGGGATAAGTACTACAGTTCAGACATCTGGACTCATAAAAGAGCACATTTGTTAATTCCAGTTCTTGAGAGAAAAAGGTGAAAACACAGGGCTGGAAAGATGGCTCAGTGGTTAAGAGCACTGGCTGCTCTTCCAGAAGACCTGAGTAGTTCAATTCCCACATGGTGGCTCACAACCATCTGCAATGAGATCTGGTGCCCTCTTCTGGTGTGCAGGCAGACATGAAGACCGAACACTGTACACAGAGAGGACGTTATCAAACACAATCCTAAGCACACAGACCACCACACACTCACCTGCAATTGCTCTGTGACTTCCTTGTGGGTTTTCTCCATTTGATTCATTTTGGCCCGAGTCTGAGATTCCTGATACTGAAAATCAGCCTTCAGCTCTGTAATCTGAAGGAAAAAAATCAGAGTGACTCAAACTCTTTGATCATGGTAAATGTTTTAGTATCCGAGATCTAAACAGATAGTCTTCCATTTTACTGGAACCCAGGCAGGGCTTTCCTGCATATCCATACTCCATCAAGGCTACACAGCATTCTTTTCCTTAAGGCTTTTCTGAAGAGTCACAAACTCCCAAGCTCACTAACTTTCTCCCTTCCCTCTTTCTTGCCCTCTCCCCTCCAATCTCTCCCTTCCTTTTTGGGTTTCGTTCCCCAGGCTATCTTCAAAGTCCTAGGGTCAAGAATTCTCCTGCCTCAGCCTCCCAAGTGGCTGTGGTTACAGCTGCATACCACCTCCCCCAACTCCGAGTAAATATTTCTGGCTGGCCATGATGGTGGTGCATGAGTGAAATGTAAGCACTCAAGAGGCCAAGGCAGCAAGGCTACCTGAGTACAAGGCCAGTCCAGGCTATATAGTGAGACTGTCTCAAAAACACACACACACCCAAACAACAGCAAAAAAAACTTTAGATACTTAAAGTACTAATCCTTTTAAGATTTGATAGCTCTGCCAAGCGGTGGTGGCACACACCTTAAATCCCAGGCCTCGGGAATCAGAGGCAGGCAGATCTCTGTGAGTTCGAGACCAGCCTGGTCTACAAGAGCTAGTTCCAGGACAGCCTCCAAAGCCACAGAGAAACCCTGTCTCAAAAAACCAAAGAAAAAAAAAAAGAGAGAGAGAGAGAGAGAGGGAGAAAAGAAAAAGAAAAGATTTGATAGCTCCAGCAACCTTCCAAATGCTCAACTACAAGTAAAACAAAGTTCACAGGGTTTGAGAGAAGTTGACAGTAATCACTGCTTTCATTTCCAAGAAAACTGATTTATTATCTTATTCTATCTTAGTTTATTTAAAATTTTTTATTCTATTATTATTCGTGTCTGATATGTGGGCACTAACGTGACACAGCACACACCTGGAGGTCAGAGGACAACTATGTGGAGTTTCAATCTCTAGGGATCCAGCTCAGGTTGTCAGGCTTTGGAAGCCAGCACTTCACCAACTGAGCCACCTCACTGCACCTACTGTGTTTATTAAAAACATTTCTAAGTTACATTTTCTTATCTACTTACATGTGAGTGTGTGTGCCATAGTGTGCTTGTGGAGGTCAGAGAACTCGAAGGAGTCAGCTCTCTTTTTCTACCATGTAGACCCTGGGGATCAAACTCAGGTCACTGGGTTTAGCGGCAAGCACCCATTGAGCCATCTCACTGGCCCTATTGTTTTTAAAAATTAACCTATACTTTGTCTTTTGTTTTGTTTTTTTCTGAGACAGGGTTTCTTTGTAGCTTTGGGGCCTATCCTAGCACTCTCTGTAGACCAGGCTGGCCTCAAACTCACAGAGATCTGCCCGTCTCTGCCTCCTGAGTGCTGGGATTAAAGGTGTGCGCCACCAACGCCTGGCTAAACACCCCCCCCATCTTTAAAATAGCCCGAGGTCTAAAAGGTTAAAGTATGCCACGAGGACCAGCAGTGTTAACGTCCATGGCTGCACATGAATTCAAGGCCAGCCTGTATGCAATCCTAACATGCATCTATAATCCCAGCATTTAGGAAGCAAAGGCAGGACTGCCCCAAGTTGAAGGTCTACATGGCAAGTTCCAGGAAGTGAGGACTGTACAGCATGCCTGTCTCAAAAAACGAACAAGGGTCAGGAGGTGGCTCAGTAGGTACAAATTAGCAGTCTCAATCTGTGGGCCTAGACTTCTTTCACAAACCTCCAAAAATATTCACATTCATGCTAGTAGGTATTTTTTGTCTGTTTGTTTTGGAGACAGGGTTTCTCTGTGTAGTCCTGGCTGTCCTGGAACTCATTCTGTAGCCCAGGCAGGTATAAAACTCAGAAATCGAGCTGGAGAGATGGCTCAGAGGTTAAGAGCACTGACTGCTCTTCCAGAGGTCCTGAGTTCAATTCCCAGCAACCACATGGTGGCTCACAACCATCCGTTATGAGACCTGGTGCCCTCTTCTGGTGTGCAGATATACATGGAAGCAGAATGTTGTATACATTATAAATAAATAAATCTTAAAAAACCATCACCCAGCTACATTACAATTCATAACAATAACAAAATTACAGTTGTGAAGTAGCAACAAAAACAATTTTCTGGTTGGGGGTCACCACACATGAGAGCTATATTAAGGGGCAGAAGAATTAGGGAGGCTGAGAAGCAGTGTTAGGGATGCGCGCTATCAAATAAAACCCAATGACCCGCGCTCCATTCCCACGGTTCATTTGGTAGAAGAGAAGGCTCCTGAAAGTTGTCCCTGACTCCCACATGCATGCTTCTACATGCACACACACATGGAATAAATAAAAATATAATAAATTAAAAAAGTCAAAGACGGGGCTGGAGAGATGGCCCAGAGTTTAAGAGCACTGGCTGATCTTTCAGAGGTCCTGAGTTCAATTCCCAGCACCCACATGGTGGCTCACAACCATCTATAATGAGATCTAGTGACCTCTTCTAGTGTGCAAGCATACATGTGGGCAGAACACCATACATAATAAATAAATAAATCTTTTAAAAAAAAAAAAAGTCAAAGACAGGGCTAGAGAGATGGCCCAGTGGTTAAGAGCACTGCTGCTTTCGAGGAGGATGTAGGTTTGAATCCCAGCACTCACATGGTAGTTCACAACCATCTGTAACTCTAGCTCCAGATGATCTGACACCTTCCGCCCTCTGTGGGCACAGCATGCTCATGGCGCACACACACACACACACACACACACACACACACACACACATATATTGTGATATGCTCCCTGCTGAACTCTAGGCCTTCCTGGAGCATATTAGACAAGCACTTGGCAGCTGAGCTTCACCCTCAGCCTTACATGTCATTTTTACACACTGTTAGTTTCATTAGCTAATGTCCTGTCTGACAAGTGGGAGCTCCTTGGAAATGCTGAGAAAGATCAGCTTTCTGAGCCCTAGGCTGAGATAGCTGACCAATATAATGCCATCCCAGGGATCAACTTGGCAAACAGACACCCTCTTTTCAGGGAACCCCAAGCTGACCAAAGACTCTCTTTTAAGCCACCAATGGAAGTACCCAACAGAGGAAGCATCATCTCTCACTTCATGGATCTTCATTTTGTTAAGTCTCTGGCCTGAAAGGAGTTAACGAAATCATACCTTCTTCTCTTTCTCTAAGATCATTTGATCCTTCTGATGCAGCATCTTCTTCAGAGTGGCTACCTCTTCCTTCAGTTGGGCAATGATGACAAAGTGGTCAGTGCCGGGTGAATCCAGAGCCAGGTCTGGGGAAAAGCTGGGTAGAAAATGAAGAGAGAAATTTCATAACTTGAATGGAAAACTTTTTCTCTACTTAAGGACACACTCCAGGTCACCTGATGGTGAACTTATTAGGGTCAGTAACTATCTGAATTCCGGCCAGCAAGCACATTGCTCAGTCCATTTCAGACTCACCAGTATCTGCTGGACTTGGACTAAGCACAGGAAAGGTGGGGTTGGCATCAGAAAATGATACCCATCCAATCACAACACCACAGCCTCTCACAAGTGAGATCAAAATAAACATGAAATCCCAAAAGCCAAGGTTACTACTTCAAGCTCAGCCATGTTTGTAATTAGAGAACTTTCCTAGAATCCTGGATAGACTATCAATTATGAGAGCAAGCTCAGCCCTAAAGTCCTGTGATCAGGTTCAGTTCCTAAGAAACTGAGGCACCTGGTGGTGCACACCTTTAATCCCAGCATTCAGGAGGCAGAAGTAGGTGAGTCTCTGTGAGTTTGAGGCCAGCCTGGTCTACAGAGCAAGGAGAGAGAGAAAGAGAGAGGAAGAGAGGGAGGGAGGGAGGGAGGGAGGGAGAGAGAGAGAGAGAGAGAGAGAGAGAGAGACTAGCTTCTGTGCTGCACTGGTAGCCCATCACCTTAATATTCAGCAGATGAGGCAGGAGGGCTGCTGTGAGTCTGAGGCAGGCCTAGGCTGTATCGTGAATTCCAGGACAGTCTGAGCTATCGTATGAGACCTGGTCTCAAACAACAATAAAAAGAATTTGTGGTGCTTGGTGGAGAAAGGGCCAAAGGTGGCAAACTCCAGCCACAGTTCATGCTTTCTACAAGCTGCCCGCTCTGTACTGGTGACTCTTGTGTCCTTTTAGCAGACCCTCCTAATCTCTCCCACTTCAGGGAATCTCTAAGTAAGGCCCTGAAATTATATGCAAAATCTTTTCTGGGTGAGGATCCAAAGTCTTCAGTGGTATCAGAGGTGCCTCAGACTAAACAAGGAATCGCTGCCAAAGGTCACTTCCTGTCTTTCACCAGGGAATTCCCACAGGAAGTTCTTCACTTTTCTCGACAATCTTTAAAGCAATGCACAAATGTGGACACTGATCTCAATCCTCTGTCAACAGAGCAACAACTGACAGCCCCTTAAGTTTGCTCCTTCCTGAATCATCTGGCAGCTAAGATGCAGAACTAGAAGAAGCCTTTCTACAGCACATGCTCCCTCCCAGTTACAAGTCAGACACTCTATAGCTGGGGCTGGAAGACAGCGACCACTGACCACTCTGCAACAGAGCAGAGCCCTGGAGGAGACTAGACTGGTGCTCTCCTAACTGATCAATGTGTACAAGTTCAGGACGACAACAGACAATCAAAATAAACCAGGCATGCAGGATAAGGGCCATCTGTCTTCTCCAAGTTCAGTTCTAGAAGCTTCCTTGTATCTGTTTCAAAATCCACCAAAACATGTCTTTCCTCAAACTGACAGAGCCTACTTAAACTCACAGCTACAGCACATAAGGGCAGAGTATAGGCTGACCTAGGGTAAATTTTCACTGTCTCCTAAGCTCCAAGTGCTCTGCTCTACCTGCTTCTCAGGAGACTATCTTTGCTATTGGCAGTGCTGAGGACTGAAGCTAGGCCCTCACGCATGAGAGGAGTACATTCAACCACGGAGCTTAAGCGCCGGCCACAGAAATCACTCTTGCACCAATCAATTGTTGGTAAAATCAGCCCAGTCTATCCTGCATTAGAGCCTGATCCCTCTGACTCTAGCTCCTAGCTTACTCAATGACTAGTTGCCAAGGCAGAAAGCTAGTCTCTCCAAATAACTCTCTCTCTCTCTTTCTCTCTTTCTCTCTCTCTCTCTCTCTCTCTC